TGTTGCCCTCTAGTCTCATTCTAGTACCAGAATCAAATGTTGCCCTCAAGCCTCATTCTGGTATCAGAATAAAATGATGCTCTCTAGCCTCATTCTGGTATCAGAATCAAATGTTGCCCTCTAACCTCATTTTGGTATTAGAATAAAATGTTTCCCTCTAGCCTCATTCTGGTATCAGCTTCAAATGTTGCCCTCTAACCTCATTTTGGTATTAGAATAAAATGTTTCCCTCTAGCCTCATTCTGGTATCAGAATAAAATGATGCTCTCTAGCCTCATTCTGGTATCAGAATCAAATGTTGCCCTCTAACCTCATTTTGGCATTAGAATAAAATGTTTCCCTCTAGCCTCATTCTGGTATCAGCTTCAAATGTTGCCCTCTAACCTCATTTTGGTATTAGAATAAAATGTTTCCCTCTAGCCTCATTCTGGTATCAGAATAAAATGATGCCCTCTAGCCTCATTCTGGTATCAGAATCAAATGTTGCCTTACAGCCTCATTCTGGTATCAGAATCAAATGCTGCCCTCTAGCCTCATTCTGGCTGTACACATGGAAATATAGTTGTCAAATAACACTTTCATCTTCAAGCTTTTAGTACCAAATAAAATTTTGACACCTGACCCCTCACCTCTGACCTCTGACTTGTGTTTATACTAAGCAGAAATAATTGCTGCCCTCTTGGTACTAAATTGTTACAGTGTCTCTCATTTGTAAACAGAAATTTAACACAAGTCAGGGGTCAGAGGTCAGGTGTCAAAATTAAAACCAAATTTACGTATTATTATATATAGTCAATAGTTTGTTCCAGATTAATTTGCATAAATGTCTTTCCTGTCACAGAGTTAGCGCTAATCTAAAGGACACTGTCTACTATTCTGGTATCCGCAATAACGGCAACGATGCGTGGGATTTCGTGTGGGATAAGTACGTGAACGAAACCATTCCGTCCGAAAAGAAGCGCTCATGTATGCTCTCACCTCGGCTAAAGATTCTGCTATCCTAAGCAAGTGAGTATGTTTCTGTAACATTTTCACCAACAGACTTTGAAATTTTTATGATATTCTTCAATATTTTTGGAAGTTCACCTAATTTTAGAGTCAACTGACAAAATTTGAGTCAATTTTCAGTTTT